TGTCAACGAGTCCTAGTTTGGATCGAAACACTGCAATAAACATTTTACAACTCAGCGTACGCCTCCATTCTCCCTTGAAATATATATATATATATATATATATATATTCGGGAGAGCAGAGCTGCATGCTTCCGGGCGTCTCCCCAGGTCGCGGATAGCGGAACGGTCGTCATCTCGCGGCTAACCGTGAATAAGGTGGGCTTCGACCTTCCGAATAAGCGGTCGCGGACGATTAGCGGCAGCGCTCGAGGATGTGGGGTTTTTAACTCCTGGCAAGGGTACCCCGTACAAAACACGACACATATCTGTGGACAGAGCTTTGACGTGGCGAGTGTACCCCTTGTCGAGATCCATTGCCCGACCGGGTTTTCCAGAAGAATCGAATGAACCGAAAACTCGCCACCGGTTCATCTGCAACATCGCTGCTGCCTTGTCTTCCGCACTTAGTTGCGCAAAGGCTGGACTGCATCCTCGAACAAGGCCTACTCTAGACCGGGAGATCGAGTAGTACAATAGTCCGCAACGCGCGCAACCATGAACTATCTTACTTTTAGGACTATGTACTCTGACGCTTCCTCATCGAGCGAAAAACACTCCACACCGTACACCCTCTCTTGTTCTCCCAGCCTCCTTATCTCATCTCTAAGGCCCCAACACTTTTCCATCTCTTTGTGGTGCTTTAAACGATCGTACTAACGGCAGTTCCTCGGGTGGAAATTCTGCCCCTGTTTCCTCTTATCCTACCTCGACTAGCATCCAAATCTCGACGAATCCTCCACCAACTGAAGCCTTTCTTCGCCCTCAATGCCCTTTCAAACTAGCCACGTTTAATGTGTGTACTCTGATGCGTATAGGACAACTGGCGCGTTTAGCTCGTACGCACGAAACCCTACCCATCGATGTATTGTATTGTATTTGTAAATTTTGTAGGCATATATGCTTACATTTCAGTTAAAAATGTACATTGTTCGTCACGCAGAATGAAATAAAAATAATCAAAACAAAAGATAAACAAGGTCAGTGATATACGTATCATGTATCATGTATCATGTATCATGAGTGTCGTATCCAAGAAATTCCCATTCAAAATTGCAGTTCCCTTATCTGACTCAAATCAGTCTGTGCAGTTCCACTTAAGCCACTCTGGAGACCCTGAGGCTGTGGGTTCCGGTCTTGCTGGCTTCGGCGTGGTTCTTAGTGAGACGGCTGAAGCCCTCCTCTGGATTGGATCCCAGTCGACAGTACGGTGTGTGCAGTGAGACTCAGAGGTTCGTGCAAGGTGAGCAGCCGTCATCACTATAGATGAAACTGGTGTCTTATCGGTGTACACTCCAACGAACTGCAGCCCAGATACAATCAAAGATGAGTTTTACCGAAATATACACGACCTCTTGCGTAAAGCAACCCGGACTGACATCGTGATTTTAGAAGGAGATTTCATTGCTACAGTAGGCCAGTTGACTTTGAGTGAGAGGCACCTGGGAGGTCTTTTCGAACTAGATTCGTGTCGCGCGGAAAGCGGAAAATTGCTGTTGGCTCTATGTTCCGACCGCCGGATGTTCCTCGCCATTCGAACTTCAGACGCTCCAACCGCCGATACACCACTTGGGGACCATCCTCCTCGAGTCAACAACGTACGCAAATCGACCATATTGCGATAAGCGACAAATGACGGGGCTGCATTCACTACTGCCAATCGTACTGGAGTACTTCTCTTGAATCCAACCACGAAATAGTACTCGCCAGAGGTTGTCCACAGTGAGACTCAGAGGTTCGTGCAAATTAAGCATCCGTAGTCCTGATAGACGAAACTTGTTTTTCGTGTCGGCATCCCATCCAAACGGCTGCGGCCCAGATGCAGCCAAAGATAAATTTTGCAGTAATCTACACGACCTTTTGCTTAAAGTGACCCGGACTGATATTGTGATGTTAGTGCGAGATTTAAATCCTAAAATAGGCCCGTTGACCTTAGAGGTCTTTTCGAACTAGATTCCTGTCGCTCTGAGAACGGGAAATTGCTATTGGCTCTATGTTCCGACCACCGCCTATTCCTCGGCAGTACGAACTTTAAACGTTCCGAATGCCGGTACGACACATGGCGTATTTTCTCCTCCATCCAACAACAAACGAAAATCGATCATATCGCGATAAGCGACAATCGTACTGGAGTACTTCTCTCGAATCCAACCACGAAATAGTATTCGCCAAGCTGTACATGCGCTTCGGTGAGCGTTCCAAACGCATCACACAACGACTGCTAGACTGTGATAAACTGTCCAAACCAGCTTGTCTAACTGACTTTCAAACCGCGCAAGCTGAAAAGCTAGAACCAACCCCATCCGATACCATCGATCATCACTGGTCGCTTATCAAGAATGCTCCGCATTCTGCTGGCTTAGTTAGTTGTGGTCTCGCACGTCGCCCCGTAACACCTTGGATCCATACGGAACCTCTCTCTCTTAATGCACGCCGTTCAATTCCAACCGGAAGCGAGCACGATCAAACACGACTCGTTAAGAGACGTGAACTTGAAGCAAGCCTACGAAGCGACCGCGAGACCTGATGAACTCGGCGCGCGTCAGAGATGGAACGTGTTGCTGCCATGGGAAATTCCAGTAAGCTGTTCCATCTCATCCGGGTCATCGGTAGAAGAGCTTTCGGTGTGTGCCAAATGATCTGCGAAGCTAACGGCTACCCATTCATAATCAACGGCGACGCCTTGAACGCTGGGCGGAGCACTTCAAAGCACAATTTAGTTGGCCTCCAGCGTCAGCTTCTCACACAGCTATTCAGACACATGTCCCATGGTCTGTCTCAACAGAACCACATTCTGAGGCGGAAATTCGTAAGCAGATCCAAGCCTTGGGACGTCACAAAGCTCTCGGCTCTGGTGGCATTCCCCCAGCTCTATTTAAAGATGGTAGAATAACGCTTGTTAGAGAACTACAAGTTCTGTTCTCTACAGTTTGGAACACTGAGCAGGTCCCCTTCTCGTGGGGGCAATCGATTGTCGTCCCCATCTTCAAAAAGGGCCCGCATAATGTCTGTGCTAATCCTAGGGGTATAAGCTTTATCCCACTAGCGTCAAAGCTGTTGGTGTCCGTCGTTCTCCGCCAATTGTGCACTATGCATGGGAGCAGACCCGCGAGAAGTAGGTTGGGTTTTGCCCCGGTCGCAGATGCATCGATCAAATCTTCACCCTCCGATAGCTGCTAGAGCACCGTCGTGCCTATCAAAGACCAATGATTATTGTGCTCTTATACATCCGCGCGGCCTTCGACTCTATCGATAGGACCGCACTAGGGAACTAATTGTTGAGGAATGGAGTACCTGAGAAGTATTCATCGATCTTCAGAGTTGTATTGTCATACCTCAGGTGGGCTAGGGCCAATGCCCATATTTCGCTACGCTTTGTGGTTCTACCGAGCTGCCCTTTATCCTTTTCATTTTCATTTTTGATTGTCTTTGTTGATAGACGCTGAGAGATATGGCTCAGAATAAAAATCGATGGCATAAGTGCTGGACGATCTATCTGTAGAACTTCTGTGCCCCGTAAAGAAGCGATTAACTCAAACAACAATATCAAAATGTGTCCGGTGAAACGCAAAAAGTTCTTTATTATTTTTTTATTGTTCTTTTCCGTAATAACTGTTTAACATTCGTTACTTTCCATTCTTTATCCTAGCTCACTCGTCCTATCTTATTGTCACTTTTGTTTCGACGTTGGAACCATGCTAGCGTCAATGCAGGAAACCTTTTCCGAGTGACGCTGTTTTTGGTCCCTACGTGATATCCCACATGTAACGGTTTATTCTGTTTCCTGAATGCATTCTAATATAATACAAGCTCTGTTTTTGAATTTGGTTACTGGAGCTAGGGGTATAAGAAGCGGGACTCGAATTTATTCAAATCACCCAACTAAGTAGTGTTTCGCCCTGTTCGTGCTTCTATTGGAAAGCAAACCGGGTCGAATTCGAAAGCCTTATTCTGAGTTATGCGATCAGCGGCTAATAGCCTGAGCGAATGGCTTTGTTAACTTGGCATGGTAGTTTTGGGTTTTGCGGTTATCGTTCTAGTAGAGACACAAGATGTACACATGATTGACAAGTCCCAACAAGATTTAGATTAGATTATACACGAACAACGAATCACGAATCAAAATCACAGATGAAACACTGGTAGCCATGTGCCGGAATTTCCAGTCAATGAGAGGTGGGGAAAAGACCACATAAGTAGCGGTTAATTTACCAACATTAATTACCGGAATTAAATAAAATATACAGAGAAAAATCACTGGTTAAATAGATCTTCGCCAACCGCCTGCTTGGAGTCTCTTTGTTACACGGTTTCCGATTGGTTGATAATATTAGCCGATGGTTTTTTGTCCTGAAACTGTGACGTGTTGCCCCCTCAACTTGCATTATCCAGGAGGCCAAGACAACATCATCACATCACCGCAAAGATTTTCATCACCAGTCGGGCTGAATTCGGGTCGCAACCCGGATACAGATTATTGTATTAGGCCCACAACCCAGTGTACTGAATCACAGCACAATAGACAGTATGCTGACGGGAACCGGAATCACAATTGCTCGAATGAAAAGCTAGAACATATCAATCGACTTTCCAGTGCATATGTCCACATAAGCTATCAGAACCCCACCCAGTTTAGCGAGGTGAACATTGATCAGCAAATTTGCCAGTGCGGTCAGAAAGAAGTTCTGTCGGAAAGAGTCTATTACTGCCATTCAGAGATATCCGTTTTTCTTCTCCAAATCCTCGTTCTATTCAAGGCTACGGAGATCAAATAAACGTCTTGTGATGACTCGAGCATCATTCTGAAACACTTCCGTCTAGTCCATCGAATAATCTAACCAGACCGAAACAATGAATAATGCTTTCAACCTTAATTTTTAGTATTCCAATAAATCATGACAATGATATTTAGAAGTGGCTCTATCTTTATGTGAGATCAAGGACACCAATTGGTACCCGTGTTGTATCCAGATTTTGCAGACTGTCTTCTACCATCGAGTGAGGAAGCTATGATTAAAGCTCACGCGTATAACATATCCATAAAAGCACAACCTCGATAAAGGCACCAGATTACAACTCACATCTATCAACAAGCTTAACTAGATGACCCCTCTAATGCTATATCCCGCAAAGGGTATGACCTCGGCAACGATAAAATTTGATGATTTGCAAATCACGAAACTAGACATCCCACCCCCACCTTTAACCACCGATCGGAAGCACCTCAGTTGACGTACAGTAGGTCTGAAAACTCACAATATTTTCCCAACCAATCTATCGGCTGGAGCTGTTGTGCACACGAAAATACTAAGAAAAGTGGAGCAGATTTCGGTCACATCACCAAAGCTCATGTACGGACGTACTCACGAGCAGACGAACACATTCTATTGTTGACTCACGCAGTTTGGTTTACGCTTGTGTCCTCTGCAGTCTCTTAGATGAATTTGCCCATCAGAAAGCATGTGTTTACAAATCCGATTGGTCAGCTGCATCAATGTTTTTGAGTCATCACGAACAGAATTCAGGAAGCCTTGAAAACGAGTGACTTCAGATGCCACGAAACACTGAATTGTGTTAGGGATGCGCTTCGGCCCGGAAGGGTCGAGGTACGTGGGAAATAGCAAGTGACTAATGTAAGAACCAATGCTAAGCCCGTTTGTGGAACAACAGAATGGCCACTCTGTCTTTTGGCTACAGCTTCTTCATTTTGCCAATTAATTTGCGCATTTTCATAATCGAACGACGAAAAATGTGAATCAAGCAACCAAGGAGAAATTGGCTGCTTCCAAAAAAGAGGCAAACAGTCAAATGTGGACAGAAATTGATAAGTGGTCCATCTGAGAAGAGCACAATTATTTTGGCTTCTAACACCAAAGAGAGATAATTATTAGGCCCATCAACTGCTTCAAGGGTTCAATGTACTTTTACATTCGAATAGATTAGAGAAATCACGTGCATTTTTGACACGACTCTTAGTATGCTTATATGCTTATATGACCGACCATGACACGAGAAGCCGTCAACCGACCTACAAACCAGATAAAACACGGATAGCAAAAGTGACGTGCATGAGAACTCACGATGGATAGAGAAGTTTTCAGCAATGAGAAAAGTTCAATTAAAGCCTGACTTGTCACAGTATTGAACAGGAACTGCACAAAGAACTAACTACCTCAGCTCCATGGCGTTCAGTGGTGGTTTCCTGATAGTGTCGGCGACGTTGTCGCCCCGCGAAAGAGAGATTTGGCTGGTATAGACGGCGCCCAAAACTCTATTTCATAATCGAACACTTTCCTAAATTAACCATTGTCCTTCATTTTTAGAAACTTCCGCCAATCTTCTCAATTCCAACAGGATGAAGCTCTATTCATACGTCATATTTGACAATTTCATGGATTTTATATAGAAATATAAAGTATTTGTATTGGCCTACATCCTCATACAGATCCTTGGAGTCCGTGATAATTAGATTAGTCCCGCGATATAGATAAGTTGAATTCGAATGCAAACTGGAGACTAACTGACTAGTGCAAAGTCAGACGAACTGCGGATCCAGGATTTTATATCCAGAATTCAGTTTCAGTTTGTTTGTATGTACAACCAATAATAATGTACTTTCTTGCCCTGGTTTTGGTTGCTGCTTTTCGGCTGTCCATTTGGACGAGGCATAAGAGAAAGACAGGAAAGTTGAAAGTAAAATCGAAGAAAAAATGGAGAATATCAGTGGACTAAGGTTGCAAGGAAATTAATGAGATTCACGGACGCCATTGTTTACGACAGCTATATCATTCAGTGTCCCTAACCCTCGTTGTGATCGCCCCGAAGTACTCATCCAGGGAGCCTAACGAGACCTATGTGACCGATTCCCCTGGCTGGGGATTTCATACCTTCGTGCCAGGTCTTAGCTTGACCACCCTTGACCTTTCTCCACAGATTACCTACCACGGCAAACAATGCGCACTGTGGTAATCTATTGGTTGACATGCGTAACACATGCTCTAACCAATGTAATTTAGGAAGGTCGACCACTTGCTCCAGTGTGTGATGGCGATTAGCCACAACTCTGCACGTAACCTCAGGATTGCTTTTCCGGTTGCCGCATTAGATTCGTGCAATGCTGCGTAGACAGCGGTGTTCAAGTACCGACAGTCTATCTTTATTCTGTTTTCTTAATGACTTTCCCCATCGGCCCTAGTGTTGGAGTTGACGAAACTCTTAGATTCAATATTGGAGAGGAATCAGGTTCCAACTGAATGGGGTGAATCGGTCATCTTACCGTTCACTTTAATCAGAAATAGAAATAAATGTCACAAGGCTCAATCACACATTGTTTCATACTTTACTCTCGAATTGCTTTCGGCATGGTCCACCTATCAGCTTTTCAGCATTCAGCCAATCTGATTGTAGTTACTTGAACCTAACGGATTGGCTGGAATCCGCGTGTCGTAATCGGCTGTGCGGAAGATGCATCGCGATGCGTGTGTACTATGGTCCGATCTCCTTGCACGATCGCAACAGAAATCCGGACCCCCAAGATCAGCCTAACACCAGTGCTAAGACAATGTGATCAGTCCGTTTGAAGGACTCGGAGATACGGCCGCTAGGTGCAGAAAATAAATACAATCTAGCGGTTTGAACTTTGTGTTTACTCAACCATTCACCTTGATAAAACATAATAGTATAACTAAGAGATAAGGACAAGTGCGATAACACGAACGGAATAGCAGAACCAAAGCGGAATTATGTGTCGGCCGAAGTCAATGTTTTTGTTTTACTCGTCAAAATTGTATTTTCTTACTTAGTTCTGGTTCATCACAGATATAAAAAAATCCATTCATTCTTGTTTCGTCAGCATTATTTAGAGAGCTTTCTGTATGGTATTATAGTATTTCTAAACACACAGCCACACTGTCTTCCGGCAATTTCTTGAAACATTCGTATTAATTATTTCACAAATAATCTTTTTTTGGAAATCTTGATTATAATACAACCTAATCATATTTCAACGAATCGATCTACTTGTTTCAGTCACTTAAAGCCGTCTCCGGTTAAGGTGGCCAGGTGGGAACGTCACCTTTGGCTAGTACGGGACAAGCTGTATGAAGCGCATCGATTGGCCAGATATGCACACGAACGTGATGCGATCCGCCATGCTCTGTACCAGGTTCATCGAATTCAGTTCACATCCATCGATGATGGTGGCCTCTTAACGTGGCGCGAAAGCTCGAACCCGACCAGTGAGAGATTACCACGGAGTTCGGTACATCGAATGACACTACTTCTCTACTTGGAAAAATGCAGTCAGGCAATGCAGCTATTGCAACAAATCCGATCACACTATCCTACTTTACACATTCGTATTGCAGTGGGAAGTCCTCGCGGAGAGAATTGTACGTCGGAACCATACACGGATTGGATGTGGGGTTGGGAAGACACAAGTATAACTTGGATTCGATTGGCCTCGTCCGTGAAAACCGAACTTGTAATGGTTGGACGAAATATGGTAGAATTCAGCTTGGATTCTAATTTGAAACGATTACTGTATGCCTATGATACATTGAGGGCGGATATTCTCGGTGGAGCAGTACGTCTGGAACCGGAAGGTCAGTGGTTCGCCGGTTGCTATAAAGTGAGTGAATAAAACCTGACAGTTTTAGTGGGTTTGTGTATGCATCACCTCATTGCATGTTAGGTTTCCGAGAGATTCTAAAACAGTTTTAATTAATTTATCTCTTTAAACTGTTGGATGGGCAAACGAACTCGGTTTCACTTGTTAGCCATCACATCCATACCGGAATTGATTGCTGATCTTATGTCTAAAGGTGACGAGTAGTTGAAATATCAGCCATGTGTTGAATGACCCCCGCTATAATCACAGGATTTATTATGTATGCACCTTACCTAATCAGTTCAGTTCAGTTTGTAAAAAAATTAATGATACACTTTTGTGCACCGGTTTTGCTCAGTATAAGCCATATATTTCTGGCAAATTATGAATAATCTGGACATTACGAGAACTACTCAATAAACCTTCTATCTTGCAAAAATATTTCAGATATCTAAATCTGTCTTTGAAATCACTAGTTTATCTTGATGTCACATCGGCTGGTGATGAAACGTTTACAAACAAATTGCCAAGCTGGACGAAGGGGCGAAATGTAATTATATTGATATACTTATTTGTGTTTAGACAGTTTCTGTTATTTATTGGGAGGAGAGGATGAAACCAAGAATCCCATTCATTCTCAACACTCCGCATATGGCAAACAGAAGTGCAGTAATCAAAGTAGGTACGGAATCCGGACCACAAATGACGGTAGCAACTGAAGCACAAAATCGCATTAGCAATCATAGGCCGGAATCTCCCGTCCTCCATACAAGTCTAGAGAAGTAGAGGTTCTTTTATTGGGAGAAATCAATGGGAATAAATAATGTGTAAATAACAGTAGAGGTGCCGTACTTTATCCTCAACTAAAATGTTCTTCAGTATCATGTTTCACTGTTTGAATTGTCACCACCTTAAGTGTTACGATATAGTTTGCAGCAGTTCGAAAGTTACAGATTAAAATTGTGAAATATTGAGTGTAGAAAAGCCTGCAAGCTCATTCTTTCGAATAAATGATCACTTATACACCAGAGTGTTTATTTTGGTCAGCACAATCATTCCAAATAACATATCATTCACCTCGTGGGGAAAAAGCGATCTCCCAAGGAGTGAAACCCACATCCAAGACCATCAAGAGTGGCTGGTCCCTCAGCAGCCGCCATCGGGGTCGAGAAACCATAGGTTGAAATGGTATTCGATTAATAGAAGCAACAACATAAATGGATACCATAACAGATTTGTGTGTCTGGA